TCAGCGTTAATTGTATCATTTATGGTTTTGTTTTCAGAATCATTGCCGGAATGTATGAGGGCAAGATGAAGAGTTTTCGTAGCGGAAAACAACTTTTTTAATTTTCTGTCAATTCATCAATACTTAACTATTATTACAGTTTCTTTAGATAGGAAATTTCGCGCTATTTATGCATCCAATGAATTTCTTTAACTCTGGGATTTTTCTTTTCAATTTTTCTTAACATTTTCAATTTTTGCAGCTTTCTTTTGGATATTACATACACTATGCCTCCAGTCTTTAGCGTTGGGTATAAAAAGTATAAAGAAAGCTACAGAGACCCTATAAAGCATATATATATACTTGATCATCGTGAAATTCTGAATTAATTAAGCCAGCTCTGTCCGTCTGTCCCTCTGTGTCTGTTTGGTGTTTGTTTTTGGCACTCTACTCATCGCAAAATTGAAGATATTGTCTTTAAACTTGGTAGACCCACTGGAAGTTTTCGCGCGCAACTTGGTATTGAAAATGGGCCAAATTGGTAAACACAGCGACATGATGGATTAGTTTTCTCTTAATAATACCAGCGATGTGAGTATCACATAAAACGACTTGGAGAATAGAATGCAGGAAGGTAAGTGAGTTAATTCTAAATTCATTGTGGTAGATGTCACGACTTAAATCGTTTCTTAAAAATACTTTCGATTTAGTTATCAAATGAAAGGAGTTGAAGAGTCGAGTGCGATGTGTCAGTTGCAATTTAATTATGGTGGGCATTTAATACATAAAGTCTTGGGGCGTTTAGAGAAAACCGATTTCTTGAACATTAAAATCTTAAGTGGACCCAACGTTTATGTGGTAGATATGCGAGAATCGGCCCCGCCTAACATAATCTTCTTACTTGTATAAGGCTACGATTTTAAAATAAAAGTAAATTTTTCGCGTCTTTTTCTTAAATCTGTTAATAAAGTTTTGTGTAAAGCATGTTTTATTTATCTGTCCATGACTATGCGCGGGAGATTGACTTGCTTCGCTGTCCGCATAGCTCATTTCTTGTTGTAAAACTAATTTCCCCGACGTGCTACTGTGATGGCATAGTGGTTTCATCAGAAATACGAGATAAGGTTATTCACCAAAACGGCACAAAAATGGTTTAATAAAATTCATTGAAAATAGAAGAAAAATATTTTTAAAGTTTGGTGAAAAACGCCGACAATCTTCCCTTCAAGACAATAAAGCGCGGGTACATACGTTAATTTTTAATACCCATTATTTAGAATATTTAAGCGATGAATGCAATGATTGCAGCGATATTGTATCGTTTACAAAATGGTATAAGTGTTAATAAGACTCAATATGTAGCTGGAAACATTAACCAGAGACATCGAAATATATAGATGGTCTGGCATTTTGTTTACAATTCAAGCTAGAAGATTATTAAGAACATTTTGTGTTTCTGTTATGAATAACATTACTAAGAATATTAATTAGCAGCCATGGCACTACTTGTTCTTTCATTCTCATTAGTTTTATAGGGACAAATTCTATTAGTAGTTTCTTGATATGACGTCACATTCTCTCAAATGCTTGCAAAGCAAAAGCATACGCAAATCCATGTTTTGAAGTGAGTATACGCTATGGTATACGCATAAGTGTGTATGTAAGAATAATAAGCCAAACAGTATATACCTAATGCTTTTTTTACACGGTAGATACATTCGCAAAAATCCGTGTAAAAACAGTTATTGGTTAAATGGAAAAATAGTAGATTGATTCCAGGTTTAAAAGAGCAACTCAAAAGTAGAATAAACAATATTAAAAAATTCTAGTTAACGGTAACTGAAGAGTTTATAACGTGCTTACACAATTTATTGCATTAAATATATTATTAAAAATTTAAAAAAAAACAAAACTAAATTGAGTAAAAAACACGTTGCGTCTCTATACATAACTTAGGGAATCCCACTCATATACGCATATAATCAATTGGTCTAACTGAATTGTAAATAATAGAGGCGAAATTACAATGCATATATGTGAGGAGTGAGAATGAAAAAATTCATAAAAATATTAAAAAAAAGAAAATTGAACAGAAAAATTCATTAAAAAAATTAACAGAAAATTAAAAATCGTGTTAACAGAAAGCAATTCGTGTAAAATGAGAATATTGTTTTTTAAATCAAATTTCGTGCAAAAAAAATTCATGTATTTTCCATAATTCGAATAAATTATGTCGATTATATATATATATATATATGAGCGGGATTTTCCGAATTTTGCGTAGAGTAAAGACGCATATAATTTTATTTTTATGATATTATCATTATAATTTTTTAGTGGATAAAAATATGTAAGCACGAAGCTCTTAAGTACACTCTATGACAAATTTTTAATGTTGTTTATTGTACTTCTCCGTTGCTTTCTTAAGCCGGTAACCAAGCTACTGTTTTTGCATTTAACCAATATCTTTTTTGCAGGAATTTTTTTGGCAAAGTATCCATCGTGTAAAAAGAAAATTAGATATATAATGTTTGGGTTTTTTTTCATACATACACACTTATGTGTATACCATAGCGCATATTCACTTAAAAACACAGAGTTCCATATGCTTCTGGTTTACAAACGTTTAAGAGAATGCGACATCTTATCAAGAAACTATTAACAGAATCTTTGACCCTTACAAATAATGACAACAAAAGAGAAAGATGCCAAATGGTTATTAACAACTTTACTACTGTTAATATAAAAAAAGTCCGTAATAATCTCTTAGTTTGAATTTTGAAAAAAAATGCCGGACCATCTATATAACCATATGAGGTCGGGTTATTCTCAACGTACACATCATTCTCCCTTTCTTTCTCTCTCTCTCTCTCTCTCTCTCTCTCTCTCTCTCTCTCGCTCTCTGTTTACCTTACTTGCCAATCCGCATACATGCAGCAAGTTTAAAATTTTCTTTAAAAAATATACAATAATTCACGCCGCTGTTGCAAGCACATCGTTCAACTTTATATAAAAACGTACACTCAAGTCGTATTTGCATTCTGCAATCATTGTTATAACAGCTTTTCTTACGTGGCCGGCTGTGTGAAGCGGCTTTAAGAGTTCTTTTCTTGATTATTCCTGATTATGAGGTAAATTCAATTGATGTATTTTAAATAATTATGAAACGAGCTCGTGAACCCCAAGAAAATATAAATGAAGAATTGCGCAAAATGAATGGTGCTTGGACATTATTCACAAGATATGTGTATAAGACATTTTTCCTATAACGGCATGTTAAATCGTATCGACATGAATATGTTTGCATGGCATTAAATCAAATAAAAGTTGAGAACCACCCTAAATAAGGTGACAATTTTTATATAAATTTTTAATTAAATGAATGTAAAGCAATTGTAATTGTTAATTAAATGCTTTTTATTAAAAATATCAAACGAACCAATGCCTGTAAAATGAAAATAATTGCTATTAGTGTTCGAAAAGAACGGTTCTATACCGACCCTATTAAGCATTATCATAATGCAAAAAATACCGAAATGTGTCATCTGCAAAGATATTGACGATAAAAATGAGTCCAGTCGCCTAAGTAGCGACCGAAATGAGAGAAAACATTGGATTGATCTCTTAGAAAATTAAATGATGTAAAAAAGTAATATTTCTTATAGAGACTACTTGTGGTGATATAGAAATTCCCGATGTTTTAGATGTATTTCGTCATTAGCTCGTAAGCATAATGTAAAAACAGAATCATTTAGGTACTTTATGAATATTTTGAATGTGACCGATGTGAATTGAATGAATTTTATATCGAAAAATATTTAAAAAATATTAGCATTAAATAATTTTTCTACTATTTGATCGAAAAATTTGCTGCTGAAGACTGCAAAGTAAAGCTTAACGAAAGAGCGAAAATTTAAAAAGGTTAATTGCTGCTATGTAAAGGCCAAGAGGGGCTCCTTCTGTACACAAAAATTTCCAAATTATTTTTTTGCAAAAGAAATAAAACCTCTTATGTTTAAAACTCGTATAATGTACACTGATAAAATGCATGCTTCATAATTATGCAAAATAAAAATTATTTTCTTCAAAAATTTATTCGATGTTAAAAGCGCCAACTATGGTAGTAACAAAAATTATTCAACAAAAAAAAAAACAAGATCTACATACGAGATTATCCAGTTATCCGGAGTCAACTGTAGATTCCGAAAACACGGATAGTCCAGTCGAATATCTGAGTAACGGATCGTTTGCAAATACCTATAAATGAAGAAATTGTAGTTTTTTTTTTTATTGTTTCAGTTTCTTCTCTATTGAGGGCGTGTTTGCGAAGAGAAAGCAGCCAACGTGTCAAATTCCAGTCTCTTCTTTTCACTTTTGCGATTGTGGCAACTCCACAAAGAAAGTGAATCAAATTGATTCACATTCGTATGTCGTCTCGAATTTTAGTTCTCAAGTTGCTAAAAGCACAAATATTGAACGGTATGGACGAATTTATATTAATTAAATACAAATGTATTTTATAAACTCTGTCTCTCTGTATGCTGCAATTGAGATAATATTAAAGTTCCGGAAACCTATCCTTCGTTTATAGCGAAACAAACATTAAAATGTCGGCGATCCCTAAATATCCACCATTTTAGGTGAATGTATAAAAGAGGTATAGTGTTAGCCTGTTGGTGGAAAAAGCTTTTAATTATACAATTTCGTTAACCACTATTCATTCACATTCATGATGGATTGCTTAGGAAACTGATTTCTTTTTCATTCACTTCTTTCATTTCATTTCAGGCGTACAAGTCTGAGGCGATTCTAAAAATTTTGAAGTGGATTCATTCATTTTATTAATACAGTTTTATTTTCTTTGTAACTTTTCTCCTCAAGTGCAGAATAAATAGACTTTAAAATGTGATGAAATATTAAAAGGCACTTGAGTAAGAGAATTCAAATAATAAATAAAGATATAACTGTATATAAAAGAGAAGTATTGTTTTTAAGTAAACATCTGCATGAATGAAACTTACCTAATTCGGCGTAGCATAGAGCTCCGAGCATACTTAAAACGCCGCATAAAATCCATACCACAATAGATTGACCAATCGAGCCGGAATACTTTAAGACACCTTTAGGACTAACAAAAATGCCTGCACCGACTATCACGCCGACAATGATCGCCACACCATCTATAAGATTTATGCGCTTCTTTAATTTTACACCCGAATCTTGACTGCAATTATCGGAATTTTGCTTATCTCTGACTTCAGCGTTCGCTGGCATTTCGAAAATTGGTCTTGGTACCAGTTCATCGCTAGCTTGCACTCGAGCCATGGAGAAGGTTGATTTTAATTAAATTTACGTTGACTTTAATTCTTATGATTATGCAGTCTTTTCGATTCTATCTTCAAAAATTTGTAAATGCGTTTAACAGTTGCATCAGCAATTTTATCTAACGTTTGCTTCAAACGATTTTTTCTTTCGTGACCAATTTCGATGGCAGACAGCTCTTGTGTTTTTTTATATGTTTTACTTTCAAATTTAACTTCTTCTGGCTCAAGTCTGAACGCAAAAAAAAAAAAAAAAACAAAACAAAAACAAATCAAAAATATAATAATATGTATATCGCCTTATTACTATACATTTAAATTTTTGCACACAAATTTGATTTATTTTACCACACACAAACACGCAGTCACCTATCGAGATATAACCGCTGTGAAAACCACGTTTTTAATTTTGCGATTTCTCTAATGCATTATTTGATGAACTTTTGTTGATTTCTCGTTTTTTATGATAAAAAATTTAATATAAATAAATAAATTGCAAATATGTATGTAAATTATTATTATGATTATTATTATTTTTAAATTAAGAAAACTGATCGGATAAAAAAATTTATATATAAATATTAACTAAATTAGTTAAGGGAATATTTCTTTTATATACGATTTTCGTGCCAAAAAAAAGCATTTTATGCGCTCTACACACTTCTAGACCAATGACCGCTTCTTTTGCTTATTAACAGCATTAACAGCACACTAAACTAAAATCTAAAGAGTAATTGTACACTAAATACTTACACTCCTTGATTAGAGCTGCCAACATATCCATACTTGCTTAATTAAAATTCACAGTGATACTAATAAAAAATCTTTCTATAATACGAAACTTTTCATTTTATTCTTATTAAAATCATCATTTCATTTCAGAGATGACATCTTCAATACCCGCCCCTAAAAAATAATACATTTTAAATTTGTATTAGAATGATTATCCTACAAAATGGATAATCGGATTATAATGTAACCGACTATCGTATTTACATAGCATACATTATTGAGGACCTTGCTCGTCTCCCCATAAGCTACTAGACTGGATTTAAATCACGAAAGCGATTTTATTATCATTTAAAAAAATTTTACATTAAAATTTTGCTTTATATGCTTTGTGCGTAGTTGGCCGTATATGGCAGCTCCATTTTCCGCGAAGAGCGAACGCGTTTGGAGAGCGATTTTTGGTTTAAGCCGCAGCGTAAACACCTGATATTGAACAATTTCATAATAAATTTCATATCATGTACCTGAGTGCACGGATAGTCAGTCAGTACATAAATATTAAAAAATTTCATTGTTATATTACTTCCATGTCCAAAGAATTTTCATGCCCTTCCGATCGGGGTTATTCTATGAATATTTTCATTTTACTTGCTCATGTATATTTTAAAAATTGTTTTTTGCAATAATATAAACAATACTTTTTGTATAAATTAATTACATTTTCAAGTATATTCTAGTGGTGAAATGTGTGCTATTTATGTGCACTATGACTGCACAGTTTGGGTCACAAAGTTGATAACATTAGAAAAGGAAAAATGTTATACAAATTTTCCACTATTGTAATCAAATTAAGAAGCAAAAACGAAAAACCTATTGAGACGAAGAATCTACCGGTATTTTTAAGGGATTTTCACAAATCAGAATTCAATTAAAAATCGAGCCTTCGTGTACTGACCCAGAATATTCATAGCAAGTTCAAATCGAGAATATAGAATATTGAGCAATTGGACAGAGCACGGTCGCGATATCTACCTTCATAGGTCTTTGCTGTAAATAAAAATATCGATTTTGAAATTTGGTTATTCACTCTTACAAACTATATAGCGGAAATTAATATGCCTTGTAATTTCCCAGTTAAGAACTGATATAAAAACAAGAAAAATGTTATATTTGACTTTAGTGTAATCTAATAATTTTTATTTTATATCAGGTACGTACGATACATACGGAAGGTACGTCATTATTCATATTGTTTCCGAATTAGTAAAATATTTTTTTTGGAAAAACTAAATGAAATGCTAAGAAACTGAAGACATAAGAGTGGTTTCATTTAAAGACTTTGCACTATATTGTAGACGTCATGTAACTTCAATTTGATGTGAGAGTTTTTACGTTCTCTTATATTCTATCAGAAACAACTAAACGACAAGATCATCCAACATTTCGTTTAAAATTCAAACGAGGAGTTTATTACGGACTTTTCCGCTTTTCATTGTGAGTAACAGTAGTAGCGATGTTAATTAACTGTAATTTGACCGCTTGCTCTTTCATAGGTACAGATTCTATACAATAGCTTCTTGTTATAACGTCACATTTTCGCGAATGCTTGCAAAGCAAAAGCATATAAAATTCCATGTTTTGAAGTGAATAATACACTATAGATTACACAGATTTTTAATTGAATATACGCTATAAGTTAGATGAATTTTGAACAAAATGTTAGACCATGTTGTTTGTGATTGGGTTATATCTGGTTGCATTGCCATTCTCTTAGGACAACTTTTTTTTGCTTTAATAACAGCTTTCTCCTTATCCTCATTTTTATACTAACTGCTGTTGGATGGAGGATATACTCATTTCGTCATAATGTTTGCAAACCCCGGAAAGGAAACTTTAGTGACCCTATAAAGTGTATGTATTTTGGATCAGTGTGAAATTTTAAATTGATTAAGTCATGTCTGTCCGTCTGTGCGTGTGTATGTTGCGTGTGGTTGGCACTCGCCTGGTCGCAACATTAAACTTATTATCTTCAAATTTGATAGGACTATTAGAAGTTTTTGTACCCAAGTTGATTCTGACAATGGGCCAAATTGGGCCAAACGAGACAGAATGTTTAAAAACTATATTGCTCCGAATGAAGATGTATTGTCTGCCTAGGAATGCGTTAATTCTAAAATAAATATGATGAAAGCCACGATCTGAGGTATTAATTTTTTCTTAATAACACCAGCGACATGGGTGTCAAATGAAAAGATTTGAAGAGTAGAAGAAGGTAATTCTGAATTAATTAGGGTGGTCGTCACGATATAACAGATTAATGCTTTTATTACACCATCGTTGATATGGTTAACACTTGGGTTGGAAAGTAGAATACGATGCGTTAATAATGGCGGACGTCAGGACGTGGTAGATTGATTTTTCTTAACAATACCTTTTAGTAAGAAAACAGAAAGTAAAAAAAGGTGAAATTTTTTGTGACAATAAAAAAAACCATGGGGCGCCAAAAATTTTTGATGATGACGGGTGTGCGAGATTTGGCCCCAGCCGAGTATGACTGTCTTATTTCTGTTTTTGACTTTCTATTTTATTATTTTTTTTGGCTGCAACCTACGCCTATGACTACGTATGATTCTTTGCCATTAACATATGAAAAGAAAAGCACCTTTTCGCAATATATATATTTACGTTTCACACGTAAAGTTCAAAACTCATATCTTCGTTATTGGCGGATATAATATAAAAAAACCGATTTAAATATGAAACATTCTCTTAAAGTACATTGTATTATTGCCATTGTGACATTAGTAAAGAGAATATGTGTTACCGCTACTTACGGTAGGTCTCAACGTGACGGACAACACATTAAAGATTTTGAAATGCATGATTAGGTTGGTTTCGGTATTACAATTCCTTCAATTTTGTTTTTTTTTTTTTTTCATAAAAGAGATCTAAGATATATGTGTAATCGTATTATGGCCACTTCAAAAATTTGCGGCGTCAACGATAGAGGCAAAGGTTTGAGGATGTGAGATTTTGGCGGAAGAGTTTTCTATCTGCTCATTTGTCTTTCCATAAGCGCGTCTTTACCGCGAAGCACTTTATTTATGTAGCCATTACCGCCGCCTTTTTCCTTTCCTAATGCAAATGACCAATATTTTTACTTCTTTCGCGAGCGTACTGTGTGGGAACTTATCTGCCAAGCCAATTAATTAACTTAACAAATAAGGCAATCAAACCGGAATATAACCCCATTGAAAAATATTGCGTATATTTTATACATTTTCTTTGCCATTTTGATGAGAACAGGCTCTGCGTACATAAAACGAGAAACCGAAAAATATAATTTCCATATATTCAAGACATGTTGGCAACTAAAAATAAAATCCTTCAGTTATATAAAGTAAAAAATTTGGACTGAGGTTTCAGCGTAAATATGTTGCATTGCATAATATATTACATAGACTAAGGAGTTTTTGTGGCGTATCTCTCCACAACGCAATCGTTTGCAATCTTTGAAATTTATGAAAATATTTTTCAAATCTTCAATCAATGTGACGCTAAAGTGAATAAAATTATTTAATGCAGCTTTTATGTAACAATTAAAGACAGAAACAGCCTTTGAAGATATTCCCACAATAGTTGGTTTATAAAAATGTTTTGTGCCTGTTTTTCGCATGAAATGATTATACCCTACAGTACTTGTGGTACAGGGGCATATTAATTTGTGCGGACATTCGTAACATCTAATCGCACTTGAGATAGACCCAGCTCTAATTCAGATCCGTTTTCCGAATCGATCTGAACTTACCTGTCCGTCTGATACGTATCCTAGTGTTTTTGTATTCAATCTATAGGTCAAAATTTTGAAGATATTTTGATTAAATTTGAGACACTGACGTTTTTGGTTTAAGGCCGATTGAAAATAGTTCGGATCGGGCCACTTTTTTAAGCATACCGCATATAGGGCCTTATTTTGATAAGTCATTCTAAGAAAACATAATGTATTTTCAATATCTCTCGATCAATATTCGTTCCTAATAAGAATTTGACATAAAAATTGACCTTAACAAATTTGGACAACGTGGGTCCATTTTTTTGATCTCAACCCATATAAGCATTCTAGTAAAAAATAAGGCTTTGTATGCCAAAAAGGCCTATTTTTGAATATTTTGTGATTGAAATTCGTCCTTAATAAATCAGTCGTAGGGAATTTGGATCATATAGGTCTTATTTTTGGACCGTACCATATGTAGGGATGCTCAAGCCGACAAAGCTTAGCTTGTCTTTGTTATGAGAAAAGCAGTTGATAAATAATAAAATCTTTGACAAGTAAATTAAATTTGCTAAATTTAGACCACGTAGTACTAATACGAGGTTTTTCATGATTTTTACTCGCTAATATAAAAATAATGTATATGATTGGGTGTATTAGTAATTAAACAAATTTGTGTAGGGTATCTAATAGTCGATCTTGCCCGACAGCAGCATTTTTGCTTACTTTTT